TGTTGATCCCAGAGGATCACCAGCAATGGGAATACAGGGCTATCAGGTCTGTAGACTGCCACCCTCACTCAAGTCAATGTGGATTTCTCTTCGCCTTCCTCTCTACTTTCATTCAACCTTCCAGTTTTTCTGTCCTTTCCACTAGCTCATGAATCTGAATCTATCCCCAGCTGGAAAAAAATATGTATCTAATTTTCTCCTGCCTCTTTGTGTTTTGCCCTGAGCCTTCACTTAGCTGATTTTCATACCTGTTGTACAGGAAGAAGACACAGCTTTGTCTGCAATGTTGCTCTCACACATCACTCATGATAACATCATTTTCTTGTGGATAAAGCACATGGTTTGAGCAGGAGGAGACAGTCATTAGCAAAATCAGTGCCAGCATCAAAGGATCTGAAGCTAAACCAAAGGACAGGAATATCAGCCTTAAATTTTGGGTGTTTTGCTGTTTTTCTCTCTAGGCCAACCAAGACATAAATTTTGCCACAGTATTCATGGAATCATTGAATGAATTTGGTTGGAAGAGATCTTAAAGGTCATCTAGTTCCAACCCTCAGGTTGGGGCATTTTGTAATATCAACAAATAGGAAATCACAAAATCAGTTTGGTTGGAAGGGACCACAATGGGTCATCTGGTGCCACCTCCCTGCTCAAGCAGGGCCAGCCCAGGGCACATGGCTCAGGATTGTGTTCAGATTGGTCTGGAATATCTCCACTGAGGGAGAATCTACAGCTTCTCTGGGCAGCCTCTTCAGTGCTCAATGACTGCACAGGAAAGTTTTTCCTTGTCTTCAGGTGGAACTTCCTGGGCATCAGTTTTTGTTGTTACCTCTTGTTCTATTGGTTTCCAACACTGAGCAGAGTATGATCCATCTTCTTGGCAATTCTCATTCATGTGCTTGAATACACTAATGAGGACCCTCTCAGTGTCTCTTCTCAAGACTGAAGAGCCCCAACTCCCTCAGCCTTTCCTCATCAGTGAGGTGCTTCAGTCCCTTCAGCATTTTCATTGCCCTCTCCTGCACCTGCTCCAGGAGTTCCATGTCCCTCTAGTACTGAACTGTTGCAACTATTAGGATGGTCTAAGCAACCTAACAATGAGCATGAGCCTGAATTTCCTTCTCTGCTCACCTTTAAGCTCTGCTCATGAAAATATTCCCCAAGACTTTCAGCAAAAGAGATACTTTTGCAGCAGTGAGAACGGGGGAGAGCAAGCACAAACCCATATGGTGCTCATTGCCTGGAGGTTGAGCTACGAACCAACTTGTTGTGTCGATCCCTTAATCAAATGGTATTGAATTACCATGAAGCAATTTGGTTTGATTTGTAGTGCTGTTGGCAACAATGAGCTTGGAGAAAATGGCAGGGGGAATTAAAAAATTTCTGGATACTTTTCCTTTCAAAAAATAAACCTGTTCAGGTGAGGAGTTTACCTCAGTTGGATTTTGCAGCACTAATTCATTAAACACCTTTTCTACTCCAATAATCTACCTCAGCCCTTATGCTGCAGGGACTTAAAGCCAGTGATTTTCCCTTATTCTCAGGAAGTGTCATTAAAGGATACATCTTATTTTAGATGGAATAAAGGTTGATTTTTAATGCCTGGGTACTGGGCAGTTTAATTTATTTGTTTGTGGAACAGACTCTGCACATCCCAATCTCATTTGGGGTCTCCAGGGGATCCTCTAGTCCCCAGGAGTAATCCCAAATAGCTCTTCTAAACACAACCACAGCTCTGGCTGAGCATTAAAGACAAGGGAAGCATTCATCCTGGGAAGGTTTTATTTCACAAATAATTCAGAAATCAAAAGAAAATGGAGGGGAAGGAGGAGATATTTTACAATTCTGTATTTAGAAAAAAACAATCTAGTTTATAAACAACCACACAGCCCCTTGGAAAACATGCAAAGGCACACCAAAATGTACAAGGAACTTTTATACATAGGAAGTAAAATACATCATTTTTCATAGAAAAAAAAAGAAGAAAAAAGCAACTCTATGCACTGGCCCTAAATATTTAGACTGCACAACTGACCAACTGGAGCCTCCTCAATCAACTGTTGGCTGAATGGCTTAAAAGGAAGAAATTCATGGGCCAAAGGATCCACCAGCACATTGGCAGTGGGGGAAGTGCTGCACCTCACCTTTCACCCTGGTTGTGTCTCCTGGAGACTTAGCTAAGCCAGATGTCCTGCAATGACAACATCAGCACTGGCAGCCTTAGCTTCAAAGAGCAACTTCTTGGACAAGAACAACCAGGCAACATCAGCTTTGCCATGGGTTTAACCAGACCCTTCAGTAAGGCTACACATGGGTGCTTTGAGTCTGCATGTGCCTACTACTCTGCTGAGCTGGGGCTGAGGATCTGGTGAGATAAAGACATGCTGCACCTTAAGCTGCATTGAAATAGATTAGGCTGAGAAATGTTGCGGTATCAGAACTAAAATCAGTAAATATCTGGCTAAAAACTGGTACTGTCCCACCCATTTATGACTAGCTAGCACACAGGATTGCAAGGAGTTGCTAGATCATGACTGCCTTGGAGGCCCTGATCGCCCCTAAGTCTGGTGGAGGTACGTTGAACTGAATAGCACCCAGGACCTCGAATAATATTTGTGCAGCAAAGTCACAAGTTCTCTTTTGTACAACAAATATAAAAATAAACAGATACAGACTTAAATTAACATTGGTTTCTACAAATCCAAACCAGTTGGCTGAAGATAAAAATAGGCAATTGTAACTCGAATTAAGCATTTTAGGCTATTTCTGTTGGAATAATAATCCTTCCCTCGTCCTCTTTCTGACAGGTAGATACAGCCTAAGCTGTTTGGATTATGTGCTCACAAGAATCCCCTGGGCTTCACTCCAAGAGCCCTCAGATTTCTTTCCATCACTTTCCAGCATCCATAATTATCATGGAGGTGGAATCCTACGCTAGTCTCGAGGTGTTTATGTGCTCTTGCAGTCCCTGTGATCCTGACTGCACCTCTTTCTCTCTCCAATTCAATTCATAGCCCTGTGGCTACCATTTGACCCACAGTGGTCCCAGATTCGTGCTGCAGGATTGGATGGGCTTGAACCAGACCATATACCCCAATTATTCACAGTGGGCAGGAACAGGGAAGCTTTATCTCACTGCCAACATCTCAAATGCTTCCAACCAGCAGCTTTTCTAAGATGTGTTTCAGCTGTTTTTAACATCAATTTACCTAATAAGAAAAAAAAATAGTTCACTTTTCCTATCTAAACCAAATACTGTACACCTTGGAAGATGATACTACATAAAGAAAGACAACACAGAGAGTCACTTCTCTCTATCCACCCCAAAGGTAGGTTCTATGTGCAGCACTGTTGGAGACGATGCAAAGCAGCTCCAATTTCATGTTTTACAAGAGGTCTCTTTCCAAATTCAGATTTTACAGAGAAATAATCCCCAATGGTGAGCCAAACTGAATGATAAATGTCATTTAAATGTCATTTCCTTGCTGCTTTCATGGTGTTTACAGGATTAAAGAAGGGCTTAATCATATAAATGTTTCTGGCCCGTGTTTTGAAAGAGCTTGAAGAGATGGCTCTTATATCTGTCTGTATTAAACCAAACATAGGCTGAGCATAAGAGCAGCTGTGAGGCATCTGCCAAGTAGAGGGAAATATTTCCCCATTTGTTATACAATATTACAATTCAATTATTGAGCAGAAGGACTTAATGCATTTGCAATTGAAGAACTAGAGTTGACATAGTCTTCTCAAGCTACCAGATTTATGTTCAGACACATCCTTAAAATTCATTTTTGATATAAAGCAGAGACTACTCTTCTGCCTGCAAACAGCAGGTCATGCCAGACCCTTCTCTTGGCTTCAAAATGCATTTGGGTGTATGGCAAGACATAAAAACAAAATATGAAATAGCATCATTGCAACACCTATGGGTTTTGCAAGACCTGACACAGCATCCTGGATATCAAGTGCTAATGGGTACAGCATTGACACTGACAGTGAGGATCTGTTGGCTTTGCAAATTGAACAGGAAAGATTAATCCACCCTAATTTCTTTCTTATCTTTAGTCTCAGAACTGCACACCCCACCAGGAGCTTCACAAAGGGCAAGTGACAATGCTTCCTACGGATGCAACCGTTCCTAGCAGGAATAAGATTCATTTTCTCACTACTTAACTGCTACAGATAAACCAACCAGCACTGCTGTATAAAACAATACACTGCATTTAACTGAAGTTGTAACTGAAATGGTGTGTAGGATAGGATGAGATGTGCCAGCACAGGAGCCTTGATTCACTCACTTCTCAAAGGTTGCCAGGCTTGCAAAATGCCTGTGAATGTTTGACCAGCAAACACTAAACCTGCTCTTTTGATTTTCAGGTGGCCTCATTTTCTGCAGCAAGGATCTCTGCCACCGTTTTACACCCTACTCCAGTCCCCAAAACACCTCCATGTCCAGCTGCCAAAAACGTCCTCTCCCCCAGTGTGACACTGTCATACAGTGTAGCCCAGAGAGATGCAGCCTCACACAGCAGTGCTGGTGCCGCTACCTCACTGGGAAAAGACCAAATTTTCTCTTCTTTTGCACAGAAACCATTAAACATACCCAAGACCACTCTATCAAAGCCCAACCTCTCCCCAGATGATGCAACTTTTCAACCAGTTTCTCATCTCCAAGTGTTGATCGCCTGGACAGTCGCTCACTTCTGAGTCTGCTCGGCAGCACGTCCTCACATCCACCACAGTAGATGCTTCACACCCTAAAAATGCCCTCCAGGGCGAGGCTGAGATCCCTACATCTGCTGTCCATGGAGCCACCAGGTTGTGTGTAGCACACCTCTCATAAACTGAAAGTTAGAAGAGTTTATCATTGCTGAATGCCCCTAGAGAAACATAAACCACGAGACGAAAAGATACAACGCTGCACAGGTGTGATGAGATGCAAACAGCTGAGTCAGAACCTCAAACAGCTGAGTCAGAACCTGGTGTCTTTTTTTTTTTGCTTTTTTTTTTTCCCTTTTCTTTTAGAATTCCCTGAAAGAGATTGGCAAGGAGGGTATGGTCAGAGCTGATGCTGTCAGAGGAGCTTTCGTGTCTCTGGAGATAACAGAGTGCTCTCCCAAAGAAACCTGCACCTTCCCTGGGAATTTACTGCTTCACAGCAAAAATTCGGAAAGCATTGCCATCTGAAGGATTCTTCAAGCTGGAGAAAGAGAAAAGAACAAAAAACAACATTGAATGAACCACACTGAAGAAACTACAGAACCCAAAGTGAGATCGTCCTACAGGCGAGTCTAAATTTCTCCCATCTCTCTCCTGCCAGGAGCAGAGGAAAGATAAAGGATGAAAAAGAAGAGGCACAAATCAAAGAGTTCACCTTTGTTTTATTATTTTAATCCAAATCTATAATGCTAATGCCAGCAAAAGGAGCTGGAAGGTAACAGACTCTTACAGCCTTAGCTTTTATCCAAGGAACACTGTGCTCCTTTATGCAGAGATTCAGGCATGAAGAGGAATATGTTTTCCTAAAAAACAGTTGTCAAAGAGGCTGGCAGGTTCCCAGGGCCTGTCTGGCCTCTCTCCTGGTGCTGGCAGTGGGAATAGCCAGATCAGCTCACGTTAAAGGACAATAAATAGGGATATTAATTTTCAGTCTACAGAGGTGTCCCCGGCTGCTCTGACTCTGAGCTGCTGGGGGTGGCTGTGTGCATGGGGGCAAGGGGGTGTTTCTCTTCCCAGGTCCTATTTCTTCAGCCCTACTTGGCTGAAAAACCACAGGAAAAAAAAAGACAAAAATTCATATTCCTGCAAAATAACCATTTCAACAAGGATAAAGATTCAGTAAACCCTAAAGACAACCTTCTCCCTTCTTCTGTTTGGGTGTGTATCTTTACCAAAGGTTATTTCCAGTGGCCTAAAGGGTAAAGTTTTCACCATTATCTTTGCAAAGCTATTTCACAGTCTGGTGGATCTCACAGCATGAAGTTGCTCCTTATTGCTGAGTGTAAATAACACTTTCCAAATCTTCATGCTCATCCCTGCTGTGAGAATGTCTTTGGTTTCCCTCACCTCCTAGATCAGCTGCTCATATTGCATGTCCCTGCTAGCAGTGGAGTTTATTCTTAGCTAGGGCAGAGTTTGCCATCCAAGTAAAAAGTTGTCTGCTAGTATAAAAGATAAGTGAAAGCAAGACAGAGATAGGAAAAAAAAACATCAAAGGAACAGGAGGTTTTTCACCTAAATCAAATCTAGCAAATTGCAAATCAGAGAACTGCAAAACTCTGACCCTGATAGATCTATACTAAAAAAAAAAAAAGCCCATATTTAACACCTATAGCTTTCTTGTCTTAGTCTATTTTTATTTCCTGAGATGTTCTACTGCATTCTGAGATATCCATTATTAGAATAAAACCAGCAAACTTGATAGCATTTCTTATGGCAATTATAAGAGGAACTACACAGAGCAGACAAAGTTAACAGTGACTAAAAAAAACCATAATATGGGAAATTCTATACTTGCAAGGAGAGCTTTGAAAAATTAGTACCATCACACTAATATCTGAAAAAACCACATCACAGATTGAAGAAGTGTCAAATTGGAAAGGACTGAATGAGCTGTGACTAGACCATTGAGATGATCAGGAGGTGCAAGATTTTGCAAGCACTTACTTGCAATTGGTCACTGAAACCAGCAAAACTGGCCCAAGAGAGATTCCAAAACATCACAGAGGTGGCAAATCCACCTTCAAAAAGTGCTTGATCATCTCTGAAGACATTCATTTATTCATCCTTCTTTCAGACAGAACAGAGGACATAGTTTGACAAACACAAATGTATCCTACACTCCATAACTGAATGGAAATCCCAGTTATAAGCCTTGAGGCATGACCAAGGCTGAAAACTGAAGAAATACCTATGCCTATCTTTTAATCTGTCAAACACACAACAAAATGGATTCGTATGGACTTGTGCTCTAACAAAATCAAACAAGGCTTAGCAGTAGCTCATCCCTTTCACAGCAATCTGAAGGCAGCTCGTCACTGGGGGAAGGTGAGAGCAGGACAACACGCTCTATTTGTTTGGGTCCCAAATTCACAGTGACACTGTTAAGTCACGTCTTTCCAATCCACCAACCTCTCCAGCTGATACCTGCTGACTTTAACATGCAACTGAACTCACCACTGAAAATCAGAGGGAAGTACAAAGGAAAGAAATCCCACCTCTCTGACTGGACACCATTCTTTAGGGAGCCAACATAACTCTTCTTCTTCTCTACAGGCATCACATCCACGAAGCCTCCACTTTCATCTGAAATCACTCCTGCATGCACTGCAGCTTTGCAGATACTGGAGCTCTGAAAAACATGTCATTATTTTGATTTACACACTGTATTTCATATATGGACATTTATATGTTTTATATATGGAGCATGAAGCTGTGCCAGGGGAGGATTAGGTTAGATACTGGGAAAAGGTTGTTCCCCCTGAGGGTGTTTGGGCATTGGAACAGCTCCCAGGGCAGTGGTCACAACACCAAGGCTGACAGAGCTCAAGAAGCATTTGGACAATGCTCTCAGGCAACTGATGTGATTCTTGGGGCTGTGCTGGAGTTGGACTTTGATGATCCTAGTGTGTCCCTTCCAACTCAATATTCTGTGATTCTGTGATTTGCCATCTCCATAGGCATCAAGAAAAAGCAGGGAATAAAAAAAAACAGTTATGAAAAATTTCTGTCCCTCTTTTGGAGATACTAGGGATTAAAGATGTCATGAGCCACATCTTGCAGGTACATCATAAGCCTTGGTTGTAAGATTCACCACCATCAGAGAGGACAAAGAGCCTTTCCATCATTCCTGTCTGTGGTAGAGCTGCACCTGAGACATTATCACATAATCATAAAATGGATTGAGTTGGAAGAGACCTTAAAGAACATCTAGTTCCAACCCCTTTCCATGGGCAGGGACACCTTCCACTAGCCCAGATTGCTCCAAGCCCCATCCAACCTGGCCTTGAACACTTGCAGG